TGATGGGTCTCTGAACTTCTCTCCTACCGGTGCTCAACCCTGACTTTTTTGCCAAGCGTGTTCCTATTGCAATATTCTCCAACTGTCAGTTAAAATAAAATAAATAAATAAAATCCCTTTTTTTCTTTTTTTGAATTGTGATTATCTTAGAGGGTCATGGCAGAAGCAGTCTTGAGTGTCGTATTCCCTGAAAGTTTCTCTCCAGCTTCCAAATCTGTTTCAGATATTATTTGGAGAGATCTGAGAAGTACAGTCAGATACTGTGCCCCAATCTGTATTTGCAGCCATTTGAGCTGATGGTAGGGCAAGCTGACCAGCAACATACGTAGACTGTCCCTTTGGATGAGGTGTAGGAAGCAGTGGACTGCTGAGATGTCTTCTGAATGAATGGGCAGTCATTAGGCTGTTAATTTTAATAGAAATGCTTGACCTGTGTATTATGGAAGCAGTCTTGCTCTTACAGCCTCTGGCTTTGTTATGGCGGCCTCTGCCTCCAGAGGCCAACTCCTTCTGCCTTTGTTACTAGTTACTGGTGAATGTCTTTTCTGAGATGCCATGGCGTGCTTTATTGCAATACCATCAGCATATCCACTCTGGTGGCAAATCCACTCATTTTTGTGAAGTGTGTCGACTGTTGCATCCATTTCTTGCTCTCCCTTTTGGCGGCTGTCACAGCACTGTGCCTGAATGGGTGCTGCCTGTGCCCGTGTGTGAGGGTGTGAGCATGGGAGAGACCATGGGCACTTGTAGATGCTTTTACAAAGTCTGGGTCTTGCAGCTCCCTGGATACTCACAGCTCCACAGTTAGATCCTGCTTGGAGAGCTTTGCGGTGATGTTAAACAGGAGCTCTGCAGCAGGAGCTCTGCTCTGCTTCCCTCTCCCTTGCATGCTCCAAGGGCTGGGGTGGAGGAAAGACAGCCAGCGTGACTGTATGGTCTCACTTCAGTAAGTACAGGCCTACAAAGTTCTCAAGTTTAACAAAGCAACTGTGTTTTCAGGTGTTTCTCTTCAGTAAAACACCAAAACAACTTACTGAAAAAATAATCAAATACCTCAACTTTAATTGTAAGGGGGTATGATTTTTTTTCAGCAATTAGTCGGGTTAAACTTAAGTTGCATGTTTTAGTATGAATATCTTGGGTTTAAATGCAGTATTAGATACCAGCAGAGCTACTTGCACCCAGGGATTAAATGGCTGAGACATTTATTTCTTTAATTGTTTTAAAACGTAAAGGAGTTTGAGGTTTTTTGTTGTTTAGAAGAGTGGCAAGCAGGGCGTTCTCGCAGCAGTGCTGTTCGGCTGTAGGAAATGTTGGAAATGCAGCTGAATGATATAAATGTGTAGATTCAAAGGATCATTTTCTTGGCTTCACGAGTTTTATTAGCTGGTATGTGCTCATCACATTGTATTTAGCAGATACTGGTTTTGCATATTTTGGCTCTTAAATCAGCGAGTAGCGATAAGCATATCCACAGTTCCTGGTCCGCGTGCTAAAGTATGACATGAAGTCGGTTCACAGACCAAACGGGAGCGGAGGCTCTCTGCGCTTTATCTCAAAGGTGGAAAATCAATCCCAGGAAACACCCCACAGGTGGCAGCAGCCCTGCTGCCGTCCTGACGAGGTTTTGATAAAATTCCAGCGCGGATGCTGTCAGAGCGATCTGGTGTGCGTCGCCCCTGTGCGGAAACCCGCCTCGAAATGCGGCCGCGTGCTTTTCGCGTCATTCGGGCCAGGTTTGGGGAGGTTTTGCTTCCAAGTCCCGCTGAAAGCTGGGTCTGAAGGCGTCTTACGGCGTGACAGGGCCGGCGGTGCCGCGGAGCACGCCGGCCGCTGACAGCCGTGCCGCTCCTCCGGCTGCCAAGATCCACTGCTGAAACTATACTTTTTTATCAGGTCATGTTTGTGTCTGGCAAAGATTTGTAGACACAACATCATTAACAGCAGTGCATATTTTCACAAGATTTACCTCTTCAACACTTTTTCCAAGTTAGTAAATCATAGCTTCTTTAATGTCCTGCTGGCTGCGTGAAAAACAGGAATTTATGTAACAAGCTCTGGGCCGCAAACCTTTTCCTGTTAGGAAAAATTTTTTTTTTCATTGCTGGCAGAGTTAGGAGACAGCTCTGTTACTCAAAGAGCGACCTCAGATGTCCTCAGTACAATAATACCAGATTATAACATTTTTGATGACTAAGGAATAGCAGCAATTTCTTAAATATTTAACACTTCTGTTGCAGAGAAGAAGGGACTGAGCCTTAGCACGGTATTTTCTCTGCCTGATGTTTTATGTGTTTGATATGCCTGTTTTGATAGTAAACAGTAAGCCTGAGCCAGCTGGGTATGTTTACAAAATACAGTAAAAAAATGAACTGGCGCAGGAGGTTTTTTAATCAACAGACGTGCAGAACAACTTTCTTGCGACATTTCTAGAGCTGGACTTGTGTCAGCCGGGGATTCGGCCGCAGCCTGTGAGTGAAAACAACGGGCTGCGCCAGGCCGGCCTCGCGAGGCTTCTCCCTCAGCCCCTGGGGCCGCGGGCAAGCCCAAAGGAGGGTTTTCAGGCTTACCCTCCCGATGTGTCAGCTGCACCTGGCGAAAATAAAAGTCCAAGGCCTTCCCTAATGCCCCGTAGCTAGGTAGAGGATGAGACTTTGATTGCAGGGTTACCTGCAGCGAAGAGAGACAGTCCTGCGTTAATTAGTTAATGGGAGAACGACTTCCTTTCAAAACTGCGTAAGGGAACGCTCAAATTGTTGCTGGCGTTTGTTTAACTGGGGTAATTTGTTAAAGGTGGTTCTTCGGAGGGAAGGAGAGGTTGGACAGGCTTCTGAGGTGGGGCACGCGGTTTGACGCCCTGCTGCGCTGGTTGAAGAGCGAGCTGCGGCGGGGCCACATTCTGCCATCTTCTGCCGCCCAAGAGCGCCTCGTGCCCCTCTTCGGGCTGAAGCCGCCCTCCTGGCGGGGTAGTCTCGGCAGACGGCTGCCTGTCAGGTGCTAGAGGACCGTCACGCCTCCTTGCTGCCCTCGTCTTGCCGAAGGTCTCCTCTTGGACCCCCGAGTGACCAGTCCCGGCGAGCTCTGCAGGTGGCCAGGCCCCTTCGGCTGGCTGGCTTCTCGTGGTCCACAGCGTGTCATGGCCCTCGCAGGGAATTTGAGCCTCTCGTCTCTGATCTAGGCCAGGCCCTACGAGGTGACCGTTTTCACCTGGTGTGCCTCCTCACGGTCTTTGCTCCTTTTCTTCTGGCAGCTTATGGGCAGTGGGGAAAGAGGCGCAGCTTTGAGAAAGCGGACGTACACAGGAGGACAGGTAGAGTAGAGAAGATGAGGGAAGACGTTTCTGGAGATGCTGCTGTCACAGGCAGCACTCTGGGTTGGGAAATAGAGCAAAAAGCAGCCAGAGAGCAGAGCGGTGGCTGTGTCCCTCCTCCTCTGGTTTGCCTCACGAGGCACGCAAAACTCCCTGAGCTGTATCATCCTCATGGTTTGCTCTTGTAGTGGGTCTTGGGGGTCAGGTTAAAAACTTAAGATAGATGGGAGGAAAAAGGTAGGAAAACGGGAAAGACAGAACAGGGTTTTGGTAGGTCTGGTAACCATTTAGTGTTTTGAGATAATTGGCCTACTGGCCTGCTGGTCAAGATCAGCCTGGCTACTGCTTTCTAGAAACGGTCTTTCCATTTTTGCTCCCCCAAATTTTTCTTTGGACAACTTGCTAAAAATGACTATGAATGGAAGGCAGCTACTGCATCACCGACTTCTCTGCCATTGAGCTCTAATTTCTAGTTTACCCATTTCATGTGTTGTTTTGTGGTTCCCTCCTACTTGTTCTACACGAACTGCAGTCCTAGTGCAGACCCTGGGACCCCATGTAGACTGTGCTACTGTCTCACCCTCCTGCCAACTCCCGTGGCTGCCTGCTTCAGCACTCTTAGAACTTGTGGCCTTTGTTAGCAATTATGTCAAAATATAGGACAGCTTTTCTGTTGATATAATGTTCTTTACATGTGCTCAGCAGAAAATTACATGAGGAAGAAAAATGCTTATCTACAGCTTGGTGATGCAAAGGGTAGCCTCTTGTTAACAGGTCAACCTGTGGGCTTGGATTTTGGATTTTGGGAATTTGTTGGTTTTTTTTTTTTGTATTTAAGAGCAAAACATTAAACATTACTCCTGGCCGAAGAGATAATGAAAAGCTTCAGTACCTCTGGTCAGTCTTGGCACAAGATAACTTATGCCCTCAGGTATTAGAAGAGTCAATTTTGCATATTAAAATGTTGATTTTGAAAGAGCGAGATGGTTTTAAGACTGAGGTTTTAAATGCAATTTTGTCTATGCTGTTTGCATTCCTTTTTCCCTAATGATTTCTTAGGCAATTTGTGATGTTTATTTATAAAAATTAGAACTTAATCCTCAACTGGTTTTCTATATGTGTTTTCTCACATAACACAAGTAATATAAACCTCACTAATACTCAGTGGCAATACTCACAGGCTGGCATGTTTGCAGGGTTTAGGGATGTGCAGGATAAGAACCCATTATAAGGACCCTGGAACAGGATCTAGCATTCCTGAACTATGGGTAAATTAATTAAAAAAAAAAACCAACACCACCACCCTAAATGCAGTCAGGTTCAACTTACTAGAGTGAAGCTGATAATGAGATCTTCAGTCATCATCTTGGTCTTCTAATACAGTTTGTCTCCTTTATGAGGTATTTGTATTTCAAAACAGCTCCTTCAGTATTTTATTTAACTTTTTATAACGTCAGATGTGATCGGGCCACGTGACAGACAAATTAACATGGCAGCTCTTTGCAAGCTCGTTGCGGCCACTTCTGAGTGGTGAGCTGATAAAAGATGTTTCCAGACTGGCATGTTTTCCCATTTCATGATTAGCCCTATGTTTTCTAACAAAATGAGAGCATGTTTGCAAAGACAAATGTTAGTACGCCATAAAAGATGCATGTTTTCTCCATTTCTTACACCTTATTTTGTTTTTCAGAATTCAATCCGTCACAACTTGTCTCTGCACAGCAAGTTCATCAGAGTGCAGAATGAAGGAACAGGGAAGAGTTCCTGGTGGATGCTCAATCCTGAAGGAGGAAAGAGTGGCAAATCTCCTAGGAGGCGAGCGGCATCCATGGATAACAACAGCAAGTTTGCCAAAAGCAGAGGCAGAGCTGCCAAGAAAAAAGCATCCCTTCAGTCTGGTCAAGAGGGAAATGGTGACAGCCCCGGATCGCAGTTCTCAAAGTGGCCTGCAAGCCCCAGCTCTCACAGTAACGATGACTTTGATAACTGGAGTACATTTCGACCTAGAACTAGCTCTAACGCTAGTACGATTAGTGGAAGACTTTCTCCTATTTTGCCAGAGCAAGATGATCTTGGAGATGGGGATGTGCACTCCATGGTATACCCATCATCAGCCACCAAAATGACTTCTACTCTACCCAGCCTTTCAGAGATGAGTAATTCTGAGAACATGGAAAATCTTTTGGATAACCTTAATCTCTTGTCGCCTAATACGTCAATGACTGTGTCAACCCAGTCTTCATCTGCTACCCTGATGCAGCAAACACCAGGTTACTCATTCGCATCCTCGACCACAAGTATAGGTTCACCAAATCCAGACTACAGGAAATTTACGTATGCTCAAGCTAGCATGAACTCTTTGCCCCAGATTCCTATGCAGACTCTTCAAGACAGTAAATCAAGCTATGGATCGATGAGCCAATATAACTGTCCCGCAGGACTTCTGAAGGAGTTACTGACTTCCGATTCTCCACCGCACAATGATATCCTGGCATCAGTAGACACTGGTGTTTCCCAGGCTGGTGGCAGGGCACTGGGCCAAAGTGTGCTGATGGTTGCTAACTCGGTGATGCCAACTTATGGCAGTCAACCGCCCCACAACAAAATGATGAACCCTAACGCCCGCCCTCACCAAGGACATAATCAGCCAACACCTGCAGTTAATGGTCGTGCCTTGTCACACACAGTGAACACCATGTCACATACATCAGGTCTAAATCGCTTGTCGACAGTGAAGACTTCGTTACAAGTGCCTATGAGTCACCCAATGCAGATGAATGCTATGAACCCGTACGCCCCTGTTAACAGTTGCAATGGCTACGGAAGGGTAGGAATTGTTTCCCTCCACCAGGAGAAGCTTCCCAGTGACTTAGATGACATGTTAATTGAACGGTTGGACTGTGACATGGAGTCGATTATCCGTAATGACCTTATGGATGGAGAAACGTTAGATTTTAACTTTGACAGTGTATTGCCTAACCAAAGTTTTCAGCACAGCGTAAAGACAACCACACACAGTTGGGTGTCAGGCTAGGATGTAGTAGGAGGTAAGCTGTGCTTTTTATAATAAATCTGAAAAACAGCTAAAGGGAAAAGAGATGTCAAAATGCTTAAAAACTGGGTGGTCTTCTGTGTTGCCATGTGAAGTGCCTCTATTACAGTCAGTCACTTTCCAGTCCTTTGTTATTTGAAAATCAGGTTTGCACCGGTGCATTAGGATTGCTGTGTACTAACTTCTGTCTGTTACTTCATGTGAAGCACTGATGTTTTGCCATTAATATTTTAAACAAAAAACTTGCTGGTAACTAGCAATTAATGAATACATTTTTTTTTCCCTATTTAAGGTATCTTAAAGTTAGTTTGAGCGTATTTTAATAGATTTAATCTTTTGGTGTGAATGTTAATTTGTTCTTTTTGTTGTTTTTTTTTTTTCTTCCTAGGCTACGGTTAAATTCTCCAGACTTGTCTGACAGCAGGAACTGAGAAAAGCAGTACAAAGATGTCCTTCACCTTCCTTTTTAATTTTCTTGACAAAGCTGTGTGCATGCACTAGCTTTTTTTTTGGGTCTTTTTTTTTTCTTTTTTTTCTTCCTTTCGTCAGAGTTGGCAGCAGACAGAGTATTTTCCTGTACAGGATGTTTGCCCAAGGTTTGCAGGTTATGTGCTGCTGTAGATAAGAACTGTGCCATTGGAAATTTCATTACTCTGAAGTGCCAAATTCACTACACCATATAATCACAGCAAAGACTCTTAACTTACATCATGTTGTGCTTTCGGTTTTGTACAGAATGATCTGTAGAAGAAGAATTGTTTTTTAAGACTATCCGTTTTGGTCCAAGAAAAGTTTATAAACTTTTGTAAGAATACTGTGATGATCTCATGCCCTAAGTAAGTTTAACCTTCGTTGATGTTACCTGTGTTTTGATGAATTGAGATAACTGTGGACTTCCCTTGCAGCAGTGTGAACTGCATTATTTTACTCAAAATTGCCACACATTTCATATGGGAACAGAATAGCCTGTTAAATATGATCCTACTAAACTCACTGATTATTCAAAGCAAACAGTAGGTTAAATGCCATTTGATAAGTTACCTGTATTCATGTAAATTTATGCAAGAATATATCTGGTTTTCATTGTCAGACCAATGACTTTATTGTTGGACTTAAGATAATTTTTGGAATACTTTCCAAGCTATTTTTCTTATAATTAAAGTCTACTTTTGTTACATAGGCAACTTAAAAAAAAAAATAATAAATCTGAGATCTGGCAGCATTCATAACCTCTTCATTTTGTACAGTATTTTAACTGGATTAAGTACATGTTTTTATAAATTTCCCTAGCACTTGGGAGTGCTAATAAAGGAAAAGCTTAATAAGGATCTTGAATACAAAACATTTCTGTCCCTTTTTTTGTTGTGTGATGTATAAATATAGACAACTTTTATGTTTAGGAAATATTTAATCAGTTTTATATATGCATTTTTAGAAATGTCATCTGCTTCTACTATCATTTTAACTCAGACTACCACAAAGTGTTAAGTATTCATTGTTAGATGCTTGTACAATGCTTCACATTTATATTTATTTCATGGAGGTCTCATAATGTTTGTGCACTCAAGAGCAGGACATTTTGGGGAAAATTCATTATTTTAGTAAAATTAATGACAAAATTGTCATTTGTCTTAATTAGCACTAGTTTTAGGGTTTGTCAGTGTTTCTGTTGTAATGCAGTACATTTGAAGAGGCAGAAGTGCTACTTTTGAGTGGGAGGCAAAAACTTGTGTGATGCCCTATTGCAGGACAAAACATTACTTTTTTTAAAGAAAGATAAAGTAAGTGGCAAAGTTATACAAATACATGAACTTTAGGGCAGGGGAGAGCATTAATGACAGAGGCCTTGTTCCTGTGGAAAAACTTGCTCGTGTTGGAGTAGGTACACTGACAGCTACCTGAGCATTTTCAGGATTCGGTCTTGGATAAATGATTTCTGATTTTTCGTCATCATATGATGCAATTTTCATGGATATGTGGATAACAGGCCTCACCTGTCTTTTCACTGGTTGCTACACATCATTTGTGTTACAGAAATCCTTGGAGGTTTTTTATGCACTGACAGGATGAACAGCTTTTGTGCTAGGGCTGGCTGTTGTGAAGGGGAGAAATAAACATTCTTCCACTGATTTTTCTTTTGTCTACGTAGCCCACAACTGGAAAATGTTCTAATTGAAACTTATCTTCCCTGTAGTGATGGCGTGTGGTAGAGAAAGAAATGGGATGTGCCAAGAAAATGAAGTTTAGTAACAAGCCATACATTTAATGATCCTGTTATGACTTTCCTAAGGCTCTGCAATGTATTTATTGATGTGCTAGCATTTAGCTCCCTGTTGGGCTTAAATCACTACTAATTACAGCTGGTCCTACTTTTTTAGATATCCTATTATGGTTGCCAGCAGTTCCAGAGGCCGATGATAAGCTGTCCTGTGATACAGGATCTCTCCAGCATGAAATTGGTCTTTGAACTTCTGTTGAGCAAAATGAAACATTCTTAGTGCCGAAGCCTCAGTGAAGCTGCCTGCTTTTACAGGCAAATATCTCTAGTAGCATCTTCACCATCAGGTTCGTAGTCTCTGAAGCATGATGGTAAATCCTGGCAGTGGAGCAAGCGAAAGGCTCACATACGTGTTTCTGAAGATCCTTCTTTCTGCTGCACGTGCAAAAATGTTTGCTCCCAAATGGGCACTGATATGCATAGGCCAAAGTAGTTGTAAAATACACCTCTGCATGCAAAGAAAGTAGTACTTAATGCTGTACTCCATGGGGTTGCAGCTGAACATGCTACATTTAACAATATACCTCCTGTTTATTATTTACTGCTACTGTATAACTTCCTGTATACAGATATTTTCTGCATTTCCTTTTATAACTATGAATAACATAAATGTAGCCGTTCCTTAATTAAAACAGTCTGTAGGAAGCCCCTTTTAATTATTGTGAGAAAGCAGTTGTAGATAATCAGTGGTTTGGGCTGTGTGGTCAAATTGTTTTTTGGTTTTTTTTTTGTGGTGCCATGCTAATATTTTGCAATTTTAATTCTGGAATACTGTGAAGTCTGGTGAAGGGGCGTGTTTTCTGCCTTGAAAACAAACATTATGTGACCTCTAGTAATAAATCCTTTTTCAGTAAAAGTACCAAGTTTCTGGAGTAACTTAGTTTGTCAGAATTGTTGTAAATGATTGGTTTGTGAATTGTGCAGATGATCTTACCTATGCAGCCTTGTTTTTGACTTTTCTCTGGTTTGTACTGTTATTAAAAGTTTATTGTATTATAGAGCTGTTCAGATATTTTAAATATAAAGATGTATTGTTTCCATAATATAGCTATATGATATATGTTTAGGTAGTAGATGCATTAATTGGAAAGCTCTGCTTTGATAAACTGACAATTTGCCTACACTTATAAGCAAAAGTCATATTGCTTATTATTGGCTTAAGTCAACAGAGCATCCCTAAGAAGAGAAGTTAAAATTGGACCAATTATAAAACAGTATAAAATTTGCACTTGTTAAACCACTGGATGTATGTTAGTACTTTTTTATTTTTTTACTGATTTGAAATTCCTATTTTCATTATGAAATTGCTAGGATCCTTAATTTATGACTGATTTTAAATAAGGTATTCTCATTATTATTATTATTATTATTATTGTTATTATTATTATTATTATTATTGTTATTATTATTTTGGTAGTCATAATGTAAAATGCAGCATGGTTTATGCAAGCAAAAAGCAAATTACTCGGCATTAAAACTGGCCTCCTTTTTGAGGGTGTTCCACAAACCAGCAATATCGTGAGAGATTGGCATGTACATACTGCTAGTTCTACTTGCGAGTGGTGTGACAGCTCTTCAACGCTTCACTGCTCTGACTTAGTCACATTGCAGAATTAAAATTCATATGTGGATATTTTCAGAAAAAGTGCCTGATGTACTTCTGCAGACACACGAGAACAATCCCTGACAGTTTGTTGTATAAAGCCATAAATGTATATAAATTATGTTTAAAAGGTTTTGTGTCCTTTCTTGTATACGGAGAATGAGATTTGTACCAGGATTCTACTTGTGATTAGCAATCCTTCTACTCAGACGTTGTCGTAATCAGTTTCCTTACCGCGTAATCTTTTTAATGATGATGATCCCATTTGGACAATCCTGATGGCATTAGCAATTTTATATGGAAAAATACCTCATGGTACCAAGTCTTACCTGGCAAGACGATACCATATTAACGAGCAAACACTAACTGCAGAACAGTTAACAAATTTTCCATTACTTGGTATAAAGGAATTTCTCTCTCTTGGCATTGCTTCTGGAATTGGAGCTGTAGCAGGTACAGGAACCTAATAGGGCTGCGTTACCAGTGTTTTATCACGACATAGTGTGCTAAAAGTAACTTGTTTACAAGTCTTTGAGACTAAACGCAAGAAGAATCCATGCCTGACTCTTAGGGCTTGCGAGAGATCTTCGTGTAGAGACACTTTGTTACTGCAAGCTGCATTTAGGCAGCATCAGACAGTGTTGCCAGTGCTTCAACAAGCCTAGTTCAGAGAAAATGACAAAAAAGTCCTGAAATCCTTTCAGAATGGGTATTTGTAAGTATAAGCTCTTAATAAAATTGCTATGACATGAGATGGTAATTAGTGTATCAGAATGTTATGTAATGCATTGTTAAAGAAGAAAAAAATATGGGACGCTAACATCCATCAAACTGCAGGAAAGAATTAGTCTGTTAGTCCAAATTACATGTTAGATCCTAATGCTATTAAATGTGGGAGAGCGCCAGCTCTGGAGAGACATTTTTCTCTTCCCCCTGCTCCCCCTGTTAAAGTGAGACCGCTCACAAAGTCCTCTTGGCCTTTTTTCCCCTTGTTTTCGCCTCTTGCCTTCCTCTGCCCCTCCTGCCTTCCTGAAATACTTACCTTTTCTCGGAGTAAGAGTTTTTTCTTTGCCGAATATTTGGGCTATATAGGCCAATCTGCATGGTGCTGCTCCTTTCACAGCCGTGCTTTATGCTGTGGCAGCAGGAGCGCTGATGTGAGTAGAGAAAGCAGAAATGTCTAATTTTTTATTTTTTTTTTTTTAAATTTAGATTGTGTTTCAAAACAGAGCTGGAAGAAAGGAGGAGAGGCTGCCAAAACAGGCAGCCAATAACACCCACGCCACAGTAGTCTTGTGAGGCCCATATCCCCGCTTGCCTGCAGGTGGGGAGGGAGAGGGGTGGCAGAGAGCAGGCTTTAAATGAAGTGCTGGCAAAAATGCCAGTTTGATCTTAAAGTGAGCAGAGGTAGACCTAAAGAGCATGAAAGAATGCATGGCACATAAAAATAGAAATATTTAAAGATGCTTAAAAAATAATTTCCCCTTGTACTTTGCAGTTCCATCTTTATTTTAGCTTTGCCCTTTTTTCTTCAGCGTATGTTTTGGAAGGGGTTTTGCACATTGAGGGAAGCTGAGGATATCTTCACTGACGTTTTGAAAAGCCTGACTTCTGGAATGGGAGGGTTGTAAGATCCAAAGATACTCTCTTTGGGTGTTTGTGAAGCCGTTGTTGGAAAGGATGCGCATCTAATTGGTACATGACTAGTTACTGCTGTCAGGAGAGATAGTCAAAGCTTGTCTCTTGGGAAGGGACCGGCTAGCAATTTATGCCAATCTGGCAACAAGGGATTTGAATCTGCTGATCGAGCACAGAAACCTCAAAGCATCCTTGTGCTCTGAGTCAGTTCTGCATCAATGCAATAAACATGTTTTTATACAGAAACATCAGCTATTATGTCATGTCAATTGATAATCCAATTAAAAGTACAAATAGCATTAGATGTTGCAGCCATTTATCGTGCAGCTGGTATGCAAAAATGGGTTTTGTGAAGACCCTGAGAAGGAAGAACTTGCACTGAGCAGTGCCTGTGGTCATGCCCACTGCTGGAATTGCATGCAAATCCCTGTTTGTTACCTGGTGATATTTTCCCTGGGGTAATGTTCTGGCATGTGCCAAAATGATAGCTAAAATGAGGAGGCAGGGGCAGCGCCCCATCTTATTTTATTTTATGTTTTTCTACTTGCTGTTGGACCCTGGGGCATTCAGAAATTTTGCATGTATTTTTTGCGAGTAAACTTCTTGCGTGGGTGTTTATCACTGAGATGATGGGAAAAGGGATGAGGGGTTTGTGCAGTACAACTGGAGGAGCACAGCAGGAAGCTTCTGATGGGTATAACAGGGCTGTGGACTGAAGAGTCTGACAAGGAGCTTGTTCATAACTTGGAACCTCAACATTTTATGTCCTTGCTGTGTGTTCATCTATAGTTGCTCAAGCCATCCTTAAATGAAGGGGCCTTTCCAAGTGGTTGCATTTCCTTCTCGGGGCCTTGGAGTGACACTACCTGAGCAGGCAACTGCCCAGAGGTTGCACAAGAGCTTTGCTGGGTTTCCAGGGAACTGTGGAGTTCGGCAGGAATGTCTAAATTGTATCTGAAATATTCAATCGACTTCAATTTTGCTGAAGTCAGAGGAGTTCATGGAAAAGCCCATTATAGAAGTGCATGTATGGGGACTGGAAAGGGAGAGGGGATGAGAAATTCTGCAGGTATAATGAGCTGTTTCTGGGATGACGAAGCAAGGCAAGCAGTTGCTTCGAGGGGCAAAGGAGGCTGGATTTCTCTGGGGTAAGGGCTCAATGTAGCAAAAAAAGAGCTTCCTTTCTGCTGGACTTTGAAGTTGTGTCCAGTAGCAGCCACAGATGGCACAGCGTCCTAGCCTGATTTGTTGCTTGGGTCTTTTTGACCAGGTGAAAAAAGCGACGAGCTGTTAAACCCTGTGAGAACTGGAGTTTCATTTCAGGAGTCCCAATAAGTTGCCGCTTCCTGCTCCTTTTGTTCCCCCTTCACCCCATCAATTTACGGCACTTGAGAGGAGTGTTACTGTTTGGGGACTTTTTTTTTTTTTTTTTTTTAATATCTTTCCATGCTGCTCAGAGGAGTTGGGCTAGGCAAGGCCCTGGGTCCTTCTTTCAGCCCCAATGGCGATGGCTGAGCTGTGCTGAGGGAAGTTCTTTGCCTCCTCCTCCTCCCTCAGCCCATACAACAGACCTCTCAAATTAACGCCCAGGTGAGCCCCAAAGCCAAAGCTGATTCACTTCGGGGATGACTCCAGGAGCCCTTTGAGGTGGGAAGTTTTGTTTGCCTGTGGCTCTCCTGCTGGGGGGCTTCTAAACTGAAAATAGCCTGGAGGTGGCAGGGGAAGTCCTGGGGAAGGGGCTTGTCTTGGGGCCATGCAGCTGCTCCACCACTGGCCCTCTCCCACCCTGCCTCGGTGTCCTCTAAGCCTTGCACTGAGCCTTGTTGGTCTGCCAGGCAAGGCTTTCACAGGAGGGGTTTCTTAGCAGGGTTTCCGCAGCCCAGATGTCTCATCCTGCTGCAGGCAAAATCTGCTGGTGTAAGCCCCTGTGTCTGGAAGTTTATTTTTGGCATAAAATAAGAAGTGCAGCCCTCCTGCCTACAGACTGCTTGGGCAGCTGGCTGTCTTCATCTCAGTGGTCCTGGTGTGGTAGGTATAGCAAGCCAAGAGCCTGCTGGTGACTGAGCAGCGTGCCAGACGGATGGGGCCAGTATTTACTTCAAAAATAACATTAAATAATAATATTCAGAATAATTATATTGAATATGCTGGATTCCAATATAACTGCTGGGAGACCCATTGCTTAAATAGGACTGAGTGGCAGATAAATGAAGTAAAAAAAAAAAGGTGATGCTGGTCTTTGCAAGGGGTCCCAGCATGATCGGAGGAGCTGGGTTTGACTTCCACGCAGGGTAACTTCACAGAATGGGTAACACAGACTCGTAACAGGGTGGAGTGATGGGGGGAACAGTGGCTGTGTCCCTGCTGGAGGAAGCTGTGCTTCACCAGTGTGGCTAAGTCCGCAAGCATGGGGACATGGGTGATCAGTATAACCTGTTTGGATTTTCAGTGGCTTCAGAAATTTTCCTCACTGAAGTTCCTGAGACAACTGGGATGTAATGGAGGTCCTCTCAGTGCCTACGCTGCCTTGAAGGGTTGGCCATCTGAGCGCGACTAGTACTTGGCTTTTCCAAACTAGGGAAGCTGCCACTGCCTTCCCTCAAGGACCTGTGCTGTTCAATGAGTTTGAACAGCGATCAGCAGAAGTGGTTGATGACCTAAATCGCTGAGTGCATCATTATACAGGATAGTGAAATGTCAGGCTGTGCCAAGAGGTGCGGAAGGGTTTCAGGATATTTTGTGAGAGGCTAATTAACCAGCAGATGCGATTAAGTGTTGATAAATGTGAAATAATGCACAGGGGAGAAGGGAAAAGTGAGTCTAGTGCATATGGATGCATTAATGAACCCTGGCTGAGGTGCTACCACCATGAGAAAGATTCTGGAGTTGTCGGAAGGTTTTCTTGCAAGTCTCAGCTCACAATTACCTATGGAGAAAAAGACACAGTAGAAATAAGAGTAGGAGAAGAGAATGGGAAACCTCTATTGTGCTACTGCTTACATGCAAAATGCACCTATATCACAAAGATTGCATGCTGTTTGGTTTTCAAAGAGGGTATTGCAGGGCTACAAAGAGCCAGGAGCAGAGACTAAATAGAAGAAGG